CCAGCTCATGCTAAACATTAGCCACAACTTTCCTCTTAATGATTGTGTAGAATTACATCTCCCTCAGTTTGAAAGCAACCTCACAGTTAACTCACAACAGTATAAAAGAATTACTATTACAGGAGCTGAGTACATAAAAGATTTGTGCTATTGTTAATACAAGTTCAGGCTGAATTTTCCATTTTTTTGGTAATTAGATGTGTGCTGTATCCCTAACTTTGTAGAAGCGCAGTGTGAATCTGAAGCATTTAATTCTACAGATATAAACGTCAGCTCATTACTGGGTTAGCTAAGTCTTGGAAGCTACACAAATGTAATTGCTAACCTGAGGAAGCAATGGGCAACATGAAATTCAGCCACAATTCTAATGCTTTTAGCAGTGATAGCATTCACCTGGAGAGCTCCAATTGCAAAAGATAAATTACAGATAAAGTAGCTGAATTATACATAAATGTATTGAAATACACAGAGAAAGAGAGAGAGAGAGAAAGAGAGAGAGAGAGAAAGAGAGAGAGAGAGAGAGAGAAAACAAAACATACAATTAGATCAAATGGATCCCACGCAGGAAAACTAGCCAGTTTGCACCAAATGCCAGTACAAATTCATCAGTTGGTTTAAGGCCAGCAACAATTAAAGAGTCTGCAACATTAAAACTTAAGAATAGACTCCCAAGGATGTCTGCAAGTAAACCATTGGTCAATTATTATTTTGGGTAACAGTTGCAACAATTCAGCCTTTCAAAACAACTCTGTTTTTCATGCAGCATCAACAGTGACAGTTGCAAGTTTGCTCTTTTATCTGTCTAGCTGTTTCCTCACTCAGATTCTATTTTCTCTTCTTTACTGGTTTTCATCTCCCAGATCTTCCTACCTTTTTCCTCTAACAGCTTTGTGTTTCTGTCTCCCCAAACACTACAGTAGTCCTTTGGAGTGCATATCGTTCTGTTGTGAACCAAGGCCAGTACTGCCTTACAGCAAGTCAGAGGGTGTGATGAGTGCGGCATGAGTAATGTCAGTATGTCTAACAACTGAAGTGCAGGATAACAGGGGGTGTCGGTAATACAGGTGATAAATTACCTAATGACAACTTTTATTTGACAACTTGGACTTAAGTACAGACTAAAAAGAAAAGGTTAGTCAATAATGTGCCCAAATCCTGAGATTATGAACCTGCCAGGTGTATCCGTTCATTCAGCTGACTAAAGGGGCATGTCTGTCGTTCATAATAACGTCTACATTGGGCGTGGTTCAGTTTGGGCTCCAGATGAGACAGGGCAAGACCCAAGTATAAGTCCTGGCCTAAACTGTGGTTTGGCAACACTTGAATAGTTGAGGTTGCTCCCTGAAGATGATAAAACTGTACGTGCGAAAGCATCGCCTCAGCGATTCATACCATCAAATTTCAGACTCCGGAGCTTGAATCAGTGAGACCCGTTTGATAGAAGATCCTTGATTTTGGTTTTTATAATAAGCTCAACTATATCACAGCACTCTTTAACCTTCCTCTTCCCTTCACACTGCCAGCTCAAAACTCTTGCTTGAATGTACAAACTGGCTACGTTGCCAGAATTCATTCTCTGAATAGTAACATTTTGCTTTTAAATGAAACAATGATTGCAGCACTTATTCTGCGCTTCAGCAGTATATTTCATTTCACTTCAACAACAAAATGTAAATATCTTCTCAAATGCTGTATAATATTTGTTGCGTGTGGTTTACTTTATGAATAGGGCTTTAAAGTATAGCTGCTTGGACATGCAACTTGTTTGGGGAGGGTGTGATACGTTTACTTTGCAAAGCAGTTTCCAATAACGTTAGATTGTTATGAATCACAACAATAAATATAACATTTGCTATTCTGATACTTGAATAATTACATTATTACTTGCTGTGATGGTGGTGGAGCTGATCGGTACTAAGGTCTCTTGCTCACCTTCTGCAGGAAAAGGACGATCCTTTCAATCATCTGTGTCCGCCGATCCTCCAGAGTGAACAATGTTCTTGGAGTCCGAATGAAGAGCTTAGTCTTCCCATAAGCCACATCATGCTGAAACCCGCAGCACTCTACTAGCTTCTTCACAGCCTCTTGATCAGATCGCATGTCATGATTTGGCCATGTGAACTCTGAAATCATCTTATACCTGTAAAGGTGGCGAGAAAAGAAGCACTTATTACTTACAAGGACAAGGATATGAAAACAGCAAAGAAACAAACGAACTTTAAAACAAATTATTTTCAAAAGGGACAGTTTTGCTGGTGAGGCTAATATTCATTGCCCCTAACACATTGGCCTTGAGGTGGTGGTGGTAAGTCACTTTCTTATATCGCTGCAACCCAAGCGCTGTAGGAACAGTGCTATAAGTTCCAAGTCAGGATGGTGTACAACTTGAAGGGGAAATTTTAGGTGGCAATGTCCCCATGCATCTGCTGTCCTCACTCCTCTACATGCTTGAAATCACACGTTTTGCAAGGTTTTATTAAAGTAGACCTGCCAAGTTGCTGCCATTCAGCTTGTTGATGGTACACACTGCTGCCAGTGTGCATCGGTGGTAGAGTGAGTAAACATGGTCCTGGATGATGTTGAGCTGTGTGTATTGTTGAAGCTGCACTGATCCAGGCAAGCGGAGAGTACTGTACCTGACTTGTGCTTCGTAGATAGTCGACAAACTTTGGGGAAGCACCAAGTGACTTACTCACTGCAGAATTTCTAGCATCTAACCTACTCTTGTAGCCAGGGTATTTATGTGGCGAGTCTGGTTCAAAATTATTTCAATGGTGACACACTGGACTTTGACATTACGAGACTCAGTGACCATAATGCCATTGAATGCCACGGGGTGACATATTCTCCCTTGTTGGGATGGTCATTATTTTGCATTTTGGAGATCCAAATGTTACTTGCCACTCATCAGCCCGAGGTTGTCTAGGTCTTGTCATATTGACCACTATCTGCTTTAGTGTATGAAGAGTTATGAGTGGTGTAGAACGTTGTGCAATCAGCAGCAAATTGGTCCACTTCTGATATTATAATAGAAGGAGAATCATTAATAAAGCAGCCAAAGATGTTTGGTATTAAGATACTCAGACTGAGGAACTCCTCCAGCAACATCCTGCAACAGAATCCAATCTTGCAGTAGAACCTCCTTTCCACTCTCTACCAATGTCATTGGTATCACCGTGGACAATGATGACTGGATACTTCCGCTCTCTCTTCAAGTTCCTTTCCAGCCCCAAGCTAGCACCTTTAACCCTGGCACTGGGTAGTTAATACAGCTGTATCAATTCCCCCCTAATTATACTGTCCACTACTAGCATGAACCTATTTCTTCCCCTCACTTGAATGGCTCCCTGCGATCAGTTTGTGCATCCTCCCTGCTGTCCCTAAATTTGACAACACGGCTTGCAAGAACCTGTAAGCATCAGACAATCGTGGGAGGTGAGGCAGCCGATATTGGAAGCCAATAGCCAGGGCTAAGCAATCCAACAACAAATAGATCAGATTTAAACCCTCCAGCGACACCACTACTCAGTAGTGAATCATAGAGGACAACCAACAGGGAGTGGCAGAAGATCCTCAATGATGAGGGAGCCTGGAACATCAGTGCGAAATGCAAAGCTGAACTATTTGCATCCATAATCAGCCAGAAGTATTGTGAGGAGATTCATCTTGGCCTCCTTCTGAGGTCCCCAGAATCACAAATGCCAGTCTTTCACCAAACAAAAGACAAAGAACTGTGGATGCAGGAGATCTGAAACAAAAACAGAAATTGCTGCAGCAACTCAGATGGTCTGACAACATCCGTGGATAGAAAGCAGAGTTAACATTTCAAGTCCAGTGACCCTTCCTCAGAACTGCTGAGTTTCTCCAGCAATTTCAGTTTTTGTAAGCCTTCCACCAATTTGATTCACTTCCCAAGACATCAAGAAATGGCTGAATGCATGTGTTACTGCAAAGGATTGGACCTGAAAAATATTCCAACAATTATATTGAAGACTTATGCTCCAGAACCAGCCATGTGCTAGTCAGTTCTGGCAGCTACCTGGGCAATGTACGCTCTGAGCACAAAAAGCAGGACAAATGCAAATGGATAATTATCGCCCTATCAGTGCACTCTCTCAGCAAAGTTGTGGAAGGGATCTTGATGATACTATTAAGCAACACTTGCAAGGGAATACATTACTTACTGATCCCAGTTTGGGATCCACCAAGGCCTCTTAGCTACTAATGTTATTACAGCCTTGGTCTAAACATTGAAAGAAGCGCTGATCTTTGGATGTGATATGACAGTAACAGCCCTTGTCATTCAAATGCTCCCTTGATGACTGCATTGTCAAGGAGCCCCAGCAAATCTGAAGTCAATGGGAATTACAGGGAAAATTCTCCACTGGTTGACATCACCCCTAGCACAAAGGAAGATGTTTGTGGTTGTCGGAGGTCACGTATTGCATCCACAGGACATCACTGTAAAATTTTCTGAGGGTAGTGTCCTAGACCAAACCATCCTCACCTGCTTCAATGATCTCCCCCCCCGCCCCCCATCATAAGGTCAGAGGTGGAGATATTTGTTGCTGATTGTGCAATCTTCATCACCATTCACAACATCTCAGATACTGAAGCAATCTATGCCCATATGTAGCAAGAAATGAATAACATCCAGGTTTGGGTTGATAAGTAGAAAGTAGCATTCAAGCAACACAAATGCCAGGAAATGACCATCTTCAACCAGAGAGAGAATCTAACCAATACTTCTTGCTGTTTAAAATGGCAGTACAATCACAGAATGTCCCACTACCAACATCCCGAAATTACCACTGACTAGAAATTGAACTGGACCAGCCACATAAATAGTGACTACAATAGCAAACTCACGGGAACACCACCACCTACAAGTTTCCCTTCAAGCCACACACCATCCTGACTTGGAATAATATTGCCATTTCTTCACTATCAATGGGTTAAAATCCTACAACACCTTCCTTGCCAGAGCTGAAAGTATCCTTACACCCCTAGGACTGCAGAGGTTCAAGGTGGTAGCTCACCACCACCTTCCCCAGGGCAATTAGGGACAGGTAATGAATGCTGGATGAACCAGCAACATTCACACTCCATGAACAAATAATACAGAGGTGACAATAGGCAGTGTACTTGGTAATCAATGGTAAGGAGAAATACAAAAAAAAAGTCTCTCTTGAACATACTAATGCTGAGAAGCACGACTTAAACAAAAAAAAAAGTATGTTGGGCAAGAACAAAAACAGACTCAAACTGTCATATAAGCTGCCAACTCACACACGGCAAATGTTGGCAAAGTACTGGAGGGTGGGATAACTCGTGGCCCCTCAGAATGTCTCCAGGGCATCAGGAGAAAAGACCCAAAAAATATGGTGAATTAATCCCAAAATTATTTCAGCATTTGTCCAAACCAGCAAGCTTCTTATTTAAACTCAGACAAAGTCAAAATAACAGCAAAAGAAGATATTAAGTGTGCACCTAAAAGAATTAGCTTGTGCTGCTTGCTGACTTGTGCAGACCATTCTCACTATAAACAAACAGACAAATTATTCCACGCTGTATTGGAACACATTGTTAATACATCCCAGCAGTCCAGGTCGTGCTGACGCAGAGCACCATCTGCTTCATTTTTTTTTGATTGTGAAGCATTCCCATAATAATTAACAGACTGGTACAGTGTATTTTGTCACATTAAGTGAACCTGCATTTTAGTAGCAGGCATTGTAAAAAGGGCAAACGATCGTCGAGTTTAGAATAGGTTTGCATGCGCTTGGGTGACAAAGGTCTGCATTAGCACAATGCTAAATAAAAAATATCCTAATATGCAGTGTGGAACTGCACAAACAAGTGCTTGTTAAATAAATCTAAACAAACAAAATGTATCTTTGCATTGATTTGGTTTGTATTTGGTCAAATGAACTTGAAACAGCAATGCAGAATTTCATTTCTGATGGTTATGAACAAAAAGAAAATGAATAGACTGTAGTGCATATAATGGGTGCTTAAGTTCTAATCAGTAAAACAGCAAACCCCTACTCATTTGTAGTAATGAAATAACAAATCCAGTTGCTAACAGCACATCAACTGCCCAGTCTGCACTTTCTGACTACCTCCCATAATGGTCAACAGTATGAACAGATGAAGTAGTCTTATGTGAATCAATCAACTACTGGTGCTGTTAACAACTGAAGTAGTTCTTTCATCATTGCAATCCAGTACAGCTTTATTGTTCACTATTTTGTTAATTTATGCAAGAGACCAGGCTGAAACATTTTGCAACCATTTTTAGCCAGATTTGCAAGTGGATGATCTAATGTAATTTTCTCTAGATGTCCTCAGCACATACAAGAACAGGAATTAGGAGCAGGAATTAGCCACAACTGCTCCACCAGTCGATAAGATCATGGCTGATCCCATTGTAACCTCAATTCCATGTTCCTCTCTGCTCCCCCATAAACCTCAATACCCTTTTCATTCAAAAATCTATCCAACTCCGCCCCCAATGCCCCTTCAGGTAGAGAATTTCACACACTAACAAATTCAGAAAAGACTGAAGTTCTGAAGAAGGGGCTGGCCCGAAACATTAACTCTGATTTCTCTCCACAGCTGCTGAGGTTTTCCAGCAATTTCCGTTTTTGTTTCGGATTTCCAGCACCCACAGTTCTTTTGCTTGTTTTCCCTTCAGAAAAGATTTCTCTTCATCTCAGTCTTAAATGAGAAACTGCTAATTGTTAAACTCTATCCCCAGGTTCTCAATTCCCACGAGAGATAACATCCTCTCACATCACCCCATCAAGCCCCTTCAGATTCAGCAAGGTATTGCGGGTACCAGTACTTGACCTATTCAATTCACCAAGTTATGTTAAGAAATGGCTGATGACCACGAACCCTGATAACATCCCGGCCATTGTACTGAAGTCATGTTTTTCAGCCTTAAAAAACCCTAGCTAAGTAGCTTGAATACAAATACAACACTGGCATCTACCTAACGTGGATAATTGCTTAAGGATACCCTGCCCAGAAAAGGCAGGACAAATACAATCCACTCAATGACAGCCCTATCAGCCTACTCGTGATCATCATGAAGGTGTCACTATCAAAGCTATTCAGTGGTACTTGCACAGCAGT